CCTCCAAAAGTCTCGTTAGGACACGTGGGGCAGAGTCAGCAGAGTGGAACTCCTCGAAGAGAGTTGGGGAGGGGACGAAACGTTTACGCAAACTCACCACGGCCCCGGTCACACGGGCCAGATAACATGGGGGAGATGTGGCTGTTCACCCTGGAGAAAAATAAAGCACGATAGCCCGATCACATGGTCCCCCGAATCTCTGTGCTTCGGCTGTTAGCTGGCGATCACACAGCGATGCTGCAGTGTGGCAAAGAAGCGGCACGGTGCGATCACACAAGCGTTTCGCGTTTGTGTGCATGCGCCGTTCCGTAGGGCAGCACTGCTTTCACTCCCGTGTTTGTGCGCATGCGCGTAAGAAAAACATCTGGTTTGCGACAGGATGTAGATGGGCGCCGAATGCCATGGGATACTAGCGCTCCCGTGATCTGACACCCGCCTGTGCCGCGCGTTTTCCGAATACTAGTGCACTTTCCTTGGTACTTTTAAACGCCGCATCTTTGGCGGGATGCCACAGGTTGGCCACGGGTGTGCTATGCTTCCCAGATGTTGCGTTGTGATCGTGCCCCGAAAATCTGCCCAACGTTCGTGCCTTTCGCACGGCAAATTCTCCGTGTGGCCGGAGCCCGCATCTGGCAAGCCACTGTCCTCGATGTCAGACCTGGATCCCCACTACGAAAATAAGGACACCAGCCTAACTTACAGGGCTGTTGCAGAGTGAAGTGCTGTGACTACTTGAATTGCACTCTACCCGTGTCTCACATTATTATGACTAGAAAAGTATCTGCCATGGGCAATGCTCCCCTCTAAGCTGTGGAGTCTTGCGAGCCAAAAATTCCACTTTGCGAGCGACGGGCATTAAAGTTGTCAGCAAGCAAGTTGGCTACGGCATAAACTAGTTTGCTCTGGAGCCATCCTTCCTGAGCGAAGACAAAAAACGTGTGAGCTGGAGGCTAAAAAACTACGAGCTAGCTCACACTCACTCGGCTTAGAGGGAACACTGGCCATGGGTAGAGTTGCCAGGTCCCCCCTGGACACCGGTGGGGGATGGGGGGTAGGGTTGCCAGCTCCAGGTTGGGAGATTCCTGGAGATTTGGGGATGGAGCCTGGGGAGGACAGGGACCTCAGTGGGGTCCTGTGCCATAGAACCCACCCACCAAAGCATCCGTTTTCTCCAGGGGAACTGAGCCCTGTAGTCTGGAGATAGGCTGTAATTTTGGGGGGTCCCCAGGTCCCGCCTGGAGGCTGGCATCCCTAGGACTCATGGGAACCTGGTCAATGTGGGCCAAGCCACCTGAAAGACTATTTTGCTGTCGCAGTAACGTTGTGCGTTAGAACTTGGCTTTCGTTTTTCCTGTGGGAGCCATTCGTTTATACGGGAGACGGCAATGCAGTGGGCTCGGGGTCCCCATTCAAGTAGAGAGCCAGTGTGGTGCACTGGTGAAGAGTGTCAGGCTAGTAGGGAGACCTGGGTTCGAATCCCCACTCGCGCCATAAAGGCTCGCTGGGTGGCCTTGGGCCAGTCACACTCTCTCAGCCTAACCTACCTGACAGGGCTGTCGTGAAGATAAAGTGGAGAGGAGGAGAAGGACGGGAACTGCCTTGGGTCCCCCTTGGAGAGAAAGGCGGAGTACAAAAGAAGTAAATTAAAAAATGAAACAGAAGCTAATCCTGATGCCAGCCATTGAGAAGCAAGCCTGGAACAGCCTGTCTGCTTGTCTTTCAGTTTGGTGTTGGGGGTTTAGAGCGGCGGACTGTGATCAGGAGAACCGGGTTTGATTCCCCACTCCTCCACATGCGGCCAGCTGGGTGACCTCGGGCCAGTCACAAGTTCTCTCAGAGCTGTTCTCCCAAGGGCAGTCCTCGAGAGAGCTCTCTCAGCCCCACCTGC